AAAAAAAACAAAATGTTTCAGAAAAACTTAGGTGCTGGAGGGCACACACAGCTGGGACTGGAAATGACTGCTTTGTCTATAGATCGTTGCACTTACATTTTAAAAGAAGATCCAGATGTTGAGTGAAGGAAAAAGGAGATACTGATCTAATTGAGGAAGGCTTTACTAGACATTTCTAAGGCTTCGGCAAAAGGCTGACATGTGGCCTACTGCCTTTATCCCTAAAAATTATATTGTTATACTTAAAATAATTGGCCTGTTGCTTGAAAGAGTAGGCCAGAGGACCCTTCCCACATGGCACACATGGCTGTGAAGAATCCAGTACACCTGGGCCAGGTGTTCAGCCCAGGGACCACACAATCCGCCAGGAAACAATCTTTGCACCTGGGATCTGTGGCGCTTTGAGCATTGTGGTAGCATCTGGAGTCCCTGCCACATTCCGGGCCGGAAACAGGTGCAGCAGAGATTGAAGCAGTAAATGGGACAGAGTTCAACAAAGCAGTGAGAATCTTCCAAAGGCAAATAAATAACTGGTTGATAAGAATTTAACAAAAGGCCATTTCTGAAGGACAGACAGGGAGGAAATAGGAAGGAGATGTGAAAACTGAAAAGAAGCAGAAGAAACTGGATATGGGGCTTTAACGGGGGCGGGGAGAGCATTTTAAGGGAACTGTTACAGGAAATGGAAAATTTAGGTGGTTGAAGGATTCTTGCAGCAACACCAGCAGATTGTATTTTGTTGGCTTTTCTCAAGCACAATTTTTGCTGATGGAAGGGCAGCTCAGATGTTTTTTCCTTGTCTACTTCATTCAAACGTGTTTATACTCAATTGGCCTCAAAGTCCTGCTGATAATGTCCTGAATATGATTTAAATACATCCCAATACCATGAAAACATTCTCAGTTCTGTGATCGAAGTTCTTATGCAACTAAAATAAAAGGCAGTTTTTCATAGAAAGTTTCACTTGCTTATGTCCAAAAGTAATTTCATAAAAAAAAATCTCAAGAAGCTTAATACACCAGGTAGCAGATTCTGGTAAGCTAAGAAGAACATTTTGGTAGAATTGTGTTTCAGGAATTAGTGGTTGAACACCGTTAGTTGGAAACAAAAGTTACCCACAGCCTACTAGATTTCCCAGTGGGCAAGGCTTTGTGCAAGGACTAGGGCGGAAGCCACGGACCCAAAGGTGGCTCCACCCTCAAGGAGCTTACAATCATCACAATCATTGATGCCCAGAGATGCAGGTATTCCACTTACCACACTAGAAGCAGGTGGTGGAAAGGGTGTCAGGAGGCCTGGCTTGCTCAAACCCTGCAGATCCTGAAAAGAGGCTTGTTTTCAGATCATGCCTTTGGCTGGTTCCTAAGAGCTAAGCTCTGAGCCTTGGACTCCAGAATGACCTCTTATTTGCCCAAGACAGGGACCCCCCCCCCAAATTCCCATTCTTCACTTTATAAATGATTAGCTGAATGACTCATACCCACTGATCAACTAGAGCAAGGTGCTTGTTCACCAAATTCATTTCACCAGAATTCAGGAGCTTCTGTCCTTTCTCCAGGCCCCTGAATGTTGACCCATCCTCAACCTGGTCTAACCTACAGCCCTCGTTAAGAAGCCCCTCCTGAGGGGGTGCATAGGTGGTGCAGTCGGTTAAGGGACCAGCTATTGATTTCGGCTTGGGTCCTGATCTCAGGGTTGTGAGATCGAGAGCTCTCTGTAAACTCTGCACTCAGCACAGAGTGTGCTTAAGACTCTCTCTCTCTGCCCTTCCCTCCAATCCTTCCTTCTCAGTCAATTGCTGGCAGGTCTCCCAGGGGGACCACTCTCAATGTTACCATAACCTTGGTGCCCCATTGCAACAACCCCTTTCTCCTTCTCATTATAATCCTTTCAAATAAAGTCTCTCTTTGCCAATGTCCAGAGTTCATTTTTATTTGACATTACCCTGTGGCAGACTGGACAAGCCTTTACATAGCATTATTTATGCCTTCTTCTTAGTGAATAATATAAAGTGCTCAGAAGTCTCAGTGTTTTATTTGCACAAATTCTAATAATTTATTTCCTGAATTCAAAGAGCACTGATCCATTTACCTCTAAGCCTGATAAGTTTACCTCTAGTTTACCGGAGTCTAGGTCAGTTTATCCCCAAGCCTTGTTTGCTTTGTGCTTCTTTCTCCCATCCCCCAGACTTGCTGTAAAGGCCACAGCCCATGGGCCTTGGGAAGGTGAGAGGGAATGCTTGGTTGTCAGGTTCCTACTGGGATTCCCTAGACTAGAGACTACAGGCTCCCCTTCCTTTACCCTAACACCTTCTAGAGCCTCAGGCTCTGCCCCTTCAGGGTATTATTTATACCAGCAACCCCTAACTGGTGGTGATTTTTGTCACCCAGGGGACGTTTGGCAATGTTGGGAGATATTTTTTGTTGTTACAATGGGAGGAAGTGGTTACTGACATCTAGTGGATAAGGGCTGGGGGGCTGCTAAACATTCTAGAAGGCACAGTAACAAAGAATTATTTAGCCCCAAATGTCAATAGTGCCAAGGTTGAGAAATGCCAATTTACATGAATATCACTGGTGCTAACTAATTTAGTCAAAGAACATGGGCTTATTCGAAAGTTGAAAGTGTAACAGTAAAGCTTGTCTAAGGGATGATCTACCTTCATCCAATCATACTGTGGCTCTTGTGTTCTATGAGGCACTTAGGACTTTTGGAGAAAAAAGGATGAACAATTCGGCAACAAAAATTTATTGATTAGTTTGCAACATTAGGTACAACATGTATATAACTTTATCACACGGTTACAATCCAGTATTTGTGCTTTGTAGGATAAGTAAACATTCATTTGAGCACAACAAACATCCACACACAATATTCTGGGATTGTTTAAAAAATAAATATATCCTTTTCCATTTAGTAGCACAAAGAACTTTCAGCTTGAGATAATGGATACATTTTAAAATTTGACATCTTGTTAATGTGACGGCCATATGCACCCCAATGTTCATAGCAGCAATGTCCGCAATAGCCAAACTGTGGAAAGAGCCGAGATGCCCTTCAACGGATGAATGGATAAAGAAGATGTGGTCCATATATACTCTGGAATATTACTCAGCAATCAGAAAGGATGAAGACCCAACTTTTACATCAACATGGATGGGACTGGAGGAGATTATGTTAAGTGAAATAAGTCAAGCAGAGAAAGTCAATTATCATATGGTTTCACTTACTTGTGGAACATAAGGAATAGCATGGAGGACACTAGGAGAAGGAAGGGAAAAATGAGGGGGGCGGGAATCGGAGGGAGAGATGAACCATGAGAGACTATGGACTCTGAGAAACAAACTGAAAGTTCTAGAGGGGTGGGGGTAGGGGGGATGGGTTAGCCCGGTGATGGGTATTAAGGAGGGCAGGTACTGCATGGAGCACTGGGTGTTATACGAAAACAATGGATCGTGGATCACTACATCCAAAACTAATGATATATTGTGTGGTGACTAACATAACATAATAAAATTTTTAAAAAATGTGACAAATTAAACACATATCCTAAATTTGGACTATTAATATAATAAACGTCTAATGAGTACTGGGGAGGATTCCTCCGTCTGTGTTGAAGAGGGAAGTAAGTCTTACAAGGAAGCTTTCTTGACATTTCAAGATGTTGATGATGCATAAGGCCAGCATTGATGGCATGGGGCCTTGTTCACACTTAAAATTACTTCACAATTTTTAAAAATAGAACAAAAGCATGGTATTTCAGGAAATCTTCAATAAACACCTTCTTTGGTCAAGAAAATAAAAGCCAGTGTACCTCATTTAGTTGAAGGGAGAGGAGAAGTTAGATACTTTCTATTTTTCAGAAGAGTGAATCTCTGTTATTAAAATAAATTAAACGTGATAAGGTTTTCTTCTTCCCAAATTAAATGCCAATATCTTTGAATCAGAAAGAGTGTATGATCCTAGTAGGTTATGTCAAATCCTGCGTCCGTTATTACAAATGTCACCCAGGTAACAGGTCTGCCATACCAGAACCAACACATTTTTAATAAAAGCACTGAGCTCACGTGTCAAGATATGACACTTAACACAACAATCCCCTCATGTTTTATGAACCTCTAAGATAATTCAATATATTATTTAAGATAATAATCTCTTCATAATTTACAATAAAAATAAAATGAAAGTTTATATCTTATATAATTTAATACACAAGCAAATTTTATCTCAAAAGACTTTTTTTTTTTGTAAGAAAGCTTTTCCTTATGGTAAGAATTCTGTAAGCATGTTACCCAAGTAATACAGAGATGGACATGAGACCATCTTCAGTCTTTCTCTCTCTCAACTAAAAACCAATAGTATTCTGGTTAGGTGGGAACACAGATATTGTTGGGGAGATGCGGAGTATTATCAGTGAGTTGAAGTAAATAAATGAAATCACCTCAGTAGAGGACATCAGTAATACTCTTGCACTTCCGTTAATATCCACTGATATTGGTCTTGATAGTGAAAATCCTTTGTATCAAAATTCTGGAAATTTCTCCTCCATATCTTAAGTGTTGACCTGGGCTGACAGCCCCTGAATCAGCTTGAAAGAGTAAAATAATGGTCATATCATAGTTTACAAAATTATTTTGATTAGTTACTTTGCTTCTAGTTGATTCACATAATTGGAGACCTTACACATAAGTTTATATAATTAAAAATATTTAAGAACAACTTTCCTGGATTTTTGGCCCTAGCTTTTAGTTTAGGGCCCATTAAATTTTTTGTTTTTCCAGCCATTCTAATACAAGCTCTTTTGAACTCGCTCATAGGTTGTATTGATTTGTACAGACCTATTGCTTTTCCTCAGACTTATTCCATGTGCAGTAGAGTTGAATAGCAGATTTTTTATAGCTCTGCTAATGTGATGGGATGTTTTGGGAAAGTTTAGAGCATTTAGAGCAAACCACTGTAATCTAAGCCGGGATAAGGAATACTCTAAGGGCAAAGCTGTCTTACCCCAGCTCCAAGAGCCAGTCAAAGAGACTTGGGGTCCCATCCTTCCGTTCCTCATGCATTTTGCAGTACTGAACAACTGCATGAAAGATATCTCCCACTTTCCAGGACTTCTGCTGAACCAGCCGCACGACATCTAAAAACTAAAATAAAGCACAGAGTTAGGATTCACATATCACGGATGAGCCTCAAATTTATCACGTTCAGTCATTCTTCCAAAACCAACATCTCTCTGGGCTATATTTTTAATCTCTAGTGACAGGGGACTATTTTCTAGGACAGTCTATTTCCTTTTTAGACAATTCAGATTGTTGGGGAGTTCTTTCAAGTGAACTGGAATTTTCTTCTTCAGAGCAGTTGTCCTCCATTAACTGCTGGAGACTAGATGGAATTCTCCTTTCAAGAGTCTGTCTTTTAGATATTTCCAGACTTTCCTCAGGTTTGCTTTTCTCTGGGTTGGACTCTCTCTGGCAGGACTGTACAGCATAGCTCCCAGGACCTTCTACCTGTCTCAAATAATCTCTGATTGGATGCATACGTTTAGGCTAAATAAATCAAGTGCTAAATTCTTGGGTATGGTCACTTAATCTTACTCTTCACTCCATCTTGAAAAATCCCCTCCCCCATCATCACATTTCAAGAGACATTGGCTTTCCATTGCAAAAGGAAAAGTAAAGATTAAAGAAACACCCTAGATTTGTCACCCAGTTATTGGTACCATCTTCAACTGGCCACGACTTAGAGACAATGTTTTTGGCTGCAGGTGAATTGTGAGCTGAAGTGTTGAAAGATGAGAAATCATTGTAGATCATTCCCTTCATGACACTGTGGGCCGAAGCCAGGGTGAAGGCCTCTCAAACTCCTTAGGCAGATACTTTTAAAGAAAAGTGACAATTATTAAGGGCCCAAACCTGTACGAAGTACATTTCTGCATGTAACCTCATTCAACTCTGTCAACAACTCTGTGAAGCAGACATTAACAATGAAAAATTGAGGTCTTGAGAGATGAATACATGTGCATGATCTTTAGGATGATGTAAACAAAGAGAGAGATAGGAGGTCAATAGCAACTATAGATAATAATCCCCCAGGGAAGGACAACACCTAAGCCATATCCTACTATCTTGTGCCTGTACCTGATAGGTGTTCAATAAATATTTGCTGAATGAGAGAAGGAACAAATGACCAAATGTGAGTCAAATACATTCAAAATGACCATGAAGACTATTTGAAATATGGGATGGCAACCAGAATCATTGAGGATGAACCTCATCTAAGTATTCTTTCTTAAGTGTTATGTAACGTATTTACACATATGTAATTTAAACATGTGTATCTTGAGGCTGTTTAGTCAATAATTTTCTATTGATAGGATGCTCCACAAAAGTGGTTGTAGGCTGAGGCTGAACAGAGCCTACATTAGTGAAATGGTAGTGGGCAAGAAGCACAGTAAAAGCTGATCATGTGGCATCTGTCTTATTGAATTGTGACTGACAGTGTTGTGTATGTTGTGGGGTAGGATAGCCCTGACCTCTCTTCACTGTTCACTAGAACAACAATGGAAGGTTAGCTCCATTCAGCTCCCTTGGTCTCAGTGATAACATTTCATAAACTACTAGTTGTTTGGGACCCCTTTGCAACGTCTGCCTAGTTTCCTGTCTGTCAGATTCCTGAAATTTTAGAGAGCTTAATCTTTTAAAAAGGTTAAGACTTTGCTTAAAAGGCAAACACCCTCAGATAGGGGAACATTCCTAGCAACTATTAGTAATTTATGGAGATGAATAAAAATAACTTTGTGAGCCGTTACTCATATCTTGGCATGTATGAATGATCCGAGGCATGTTTTCTGTCATACTAATGGTAAAAACATGAAGCATCAGAGAAAAAGAGAGAAAGGCTAGGATGTCTTTGCATGATTTGACAAATCAGACTTTTCCAGCTCTTACTGGAAGTCACCTACTGAAAGTAGGTGTTCCCAGTGGAGAAGGCTTGAACATCAAGTTTCTGAGGTCTCATTGTGAGAGGTTCATAGGTTGGTGACTTCAAGATTTCCTTCAAGTGTCACCAATGGCCTTAGGCCAGACCCATCCCTTGAGGGTGTCTCCTCTCCCTTAACATGTCTTATAAAGATGCAGTCAACATAAAATACACAGAAATATAAAATTAGCCTCAGCTCCATTCTTTCTTTCTGTAAACTCTGGCTCACTGGTCTACCACTTTGTTCCCAACTTTTATCCCTGAGTCATTGCTCTAAGAGACAATCAAAACTCTGGAGCAGATGTCAGTATTTGCTAAGCCCTTCCCAGAAGGCTCTCAGCCTCAGACCTCTTTAGAAGCTCAATTACTGCTTCTTTCCATCTACTTAGGACTTGTTGAAGGAGGATCTCCCACTGTGGTGATGACCACAGGATGAGGTTGATTGACCCAAAGTTGTCAAAATGCCCCACAAGGTAGTCACTCTGCCAGTAGTTTGTGGAATGGTCACAGGCTAGAATCTGTCTCATGATTTCTAAATCCAGTCTGATATCCCAATAAAGAAGCTTTTAAAAATGATCTGGCCCCACTAACTATAGCCTACTCTGAGGCTGTGATGACTTAATCTCAGACATCAAGACCTTGAAACATCTGTGTGTCTGATGAGCAAGAAGGTCTTACACTTTCTTTTCTTCCTTGACTGCAAGAAATTTCTAAATAAAAATGAGGCTAAAATTGTGAAGAAGCCAAGAAAGGACATTTCCAGCTTGTTACCATAGCCTTTAAAACCACATTCAATTTAGCAGCTGGCGCTAGATTTTTCATTGTGCCTGTCCATGTGTTTGCTCTGGTAATTTTATAATCAGCTTCAGTATGTCAGGGATCTGAGTTTTCCATTTAATGCACTGAAAAATAAAAATCAAATATTTTCATTTCCTGCCATTTCACAATCAATAATTAGGTTCCCTTTCTATAGATCATAACTGGCATTTCCTTGAGCAAATATTTTGTCTTAAGGAACTAGAAGGATTTACATCCTGTGATGGTGTATCATTGACAGACTCATTTGAAGAAGAGTGTTACATGGTAGAGGACTTTTATATTCACAGGCACATTTACTAAATTAGATCAGTTGTTTACAAAATCCTATGGTAAACTCTATGGGAGTTGTTGCAAGCTGTGAGATTTTTAAGAAACACTCAGCTTGGATTTCTGAAAGTAACTACCTTCTTTTGCTCCAAGGCAGAATTCCATTTTATTAAACACAAGTGAGTTGGTTTTTATATTGCTCCTGCAATTATAGCCTGTAGAGCCATGATTACCAGCCTTGGCTGTACCCTGGAACCACCAGAGACCTTCAGAAAACTCCAATGCCTGGGCTTCATACCAAGAGGAGATTCTAATTTAATTGGCCAGAGCATCTAGGTCTATAAATCTCCCCAGGTGATTCTAGAACACACTGAGTTTGAGAACCTTGACTAAAGGGTTCAATTCAAGACAATTTCTTATGTTTATGAACAAAGAGATTTAGTATCTATTATCCACTTAAATGTCAGTATTCTCCACCAAATTCATATATTGAAACCCCAAACCCCAATGTGATGGTATTATGAGGTGGGGCCTTTGGGTGATAATTAGGTTTAGATGAGGTCATGAGGATGGGGCTCCCATGATAAGATTTATGCCCTTATAAGAAAAGGAAGAGGGCACCTGGGTGGCTCAGTTGGTTAAGCGACTGCCTTCGGCTCAGGTCATGATCCTGGAGTCCCGGGATCGAGTCCCACATCGGGCTCCCTGCTCAGCGGGGAATCTGCTTCTCCCTCTGACCCTCTTCCCTCTCATGCTCTCTGTCTCTCATTCTCTCTCTCTCAAATAAATAAATAAAATCTTAAAAAAAAAAAGAAAAGAAAAGGAAGAGACACCAGAGCTCTCTCTGTCTACCTTAGGAGGAAAGAGGGAGGGAGAGGGCCCTCACCGGGAGTGGAATCTGCCGGTAACTTGATCTTGGACCTCACAGCCTCCAGAACTGTGAGCAATAAATGTCTTGTATAAGCAGCTCAGTCTATGGTATTTTGTTAAGATAGTCTAAGTTAAGACACTATATAATTCTTCTCTATTTTTCCTTCCTTTTTTTTTCTTATTGTCCTTCCACCACTTTTCATGTTGAATAGAATGAGAAATTAGATATGAGATCATGTCTCTTCTGACCCTCACTTTCTTGGGGAGGTATGCATACACCTGTTTCCTCTCTTTCCTCTGTTCTTTGCATTGCCTCCAAGAAAAGGAAGTAATTCTCAAATGCATAAAGATGAGAAAGGCACTGATTTATAGTGAAGCCAGTCATCAGGCCATTCTAGCTTACAGAAGCTCATTCGATTTAGAAAAGGAGCTAGAGTGCAATGATACCTTGTATCCAAGAGGCAGAATAATTGGCTAATTTATGTCATTTTTTTAAAAAAACAGTTACCTTCATGATTTTTTTTCACTTTGAATTAATCAGATTAAACTTTTTAAAAAATTCTTTATTTAAATTCAATTTAGTTAACATATACTGCATTATTATTTTCAGGGGTAGAATTTAGTGATTCATCAGTTGCATATAGTGTCAGCCATTGTGAATGATGTTTACAAACTGTTTTAGATCATTAGGCATTATGATTCTCAGCAATCTTTGCCCTGGAATTTAGGATACTTAAAGTTACCTCAAATTCTGCCACTCCTTCAGGATATTTCTTATGGAAGGGGTCTCAAACTTTAGTACTCATCAAAATGACTTCACTTGAGGGAAATTGTTAAAAAATATATATTTCTGGGCCCCACTGAGCATAATCAGGGCCAAGGAAGGGCCTAGGCATATGAATTGTAAGTAAGTGTCCCAGGTAACTCTGTGCATTTGGCTCATAGTTGAGGTGTGAGAAATCCCATTTTTAAAAAAAAATTTATTATGGTATGTTAGTCACCATACAATACATCATTAGTTTTTGATGTGGTGATCCATGATCCATTGTTTTTGTATAACTCCCAGTGCTCCATGCAATACGTGCCCTCCTTAATACCTATCACCGTGCTAACCCATCCCCCCACCCCTCTCCCCTCTAAAACACTGTTTGTTTCTCAGAGTCCATAGTCTCTCATGGTTCATCTCTCCCTCCGATTTCCCTCCCTTCAT